AGATGACTAGTCTTTGAGGGTGTGATATATCTTGATGAAGTGACAGAGGCTCTATTTCTCAAGGAAGCTTCTACTTCCAATGTATGGAACTAAAACTAAAAAGTGACATGCTCCTCCTATGCTTTCTTCTTTTGCACACAATATGTTTGATAATTGATAGGTTGTGGCGGTGCCAAAAGCTTGAGCTGTCACTTGGAAAATTGGTAAAGAGAGAGAGGGAGATTTGCCATCTCTGTCAGAGAGCATATTCTTGTTTCAGCCTTTGCCTACGCTCCTCTATATGGTGTGTCCTCTCGAGGGAAAGTGAAAACTCCTCTTTTTACCAACGAAAAGCCTAATTTACCATGGAAAATGTGACAGGGGATAAGGGGAGGTTAAAGGAGGTAAAAAAATGGTGGGATTTAATACCACATAGTACAGGAATAAAACTGTAGAATATCAATATCAGCACCAACACTTTCACAGCTTCATATACCGAGTTCAAACTTTTTACAACTAGCTGCCTCCTTGTTCAATTTCGTCAGAAACAAATAACATTGGGACCCTAATATTGAAGGACTAAGAGAGCAAGTGTGGCCTGTGGTAGTTACTATTGAGCAATAGTTAATTGGTTTGAAGGCATTTAATTTGGGAGCAAACAGTGGCTCGATGGCAAACCAGGCCATTATGCCTCAAAGAAGGTTTGGGATTTCCCAACAGGGTGAAACCATATAAATGTCCCTGGAAAACTACTACAAGTTGTGGATTGGATAATCTGAGTAATGATGTTCATCACAAAATAGCAACTAAGCAATAAATCAAAAGAAATGTGGAGTGATAAATACAAGCGTATATAACTGAATAAAAAGGACCTTCCATGATCCAAGACTGATGTCCTATAAATCTTTCTTTTAAAAAGAAAAAAAGAAGTTGGTAAGCAACTTTTGAGAGGTTAATATACAGGAAAGAACTTCATCTTCTGCTGCACATGGCTATCATCACCTCAAGTTCTTGGTAACTTGTCTAATTTGATTTACGATAAGTCTAGTTCAAATTCAGATCAATGTAAATCCTACTTCGTGAGGAAATGACCTCAAAAAATTGGGGAAAAAAACTTGAGTTTTCGGCTGGAATTTTGCTGGGTTAAGAAGATACCGTTTTCAGTCTGATGGTACTGGAATCATCTTCAAAGCTGCTGCAATTGGCATACCAAGAAATCCGAATAGCACAGTGACAAACCATTGCTGGGAATTTAGAGGATACGTGTTTGCAAATGTTCCGAGGAATTGGATGATTATGATTTGGAAAAGTACAGTGCAAGTGAGCACTGCCACGAAGACGTAATTCTTCAGTATTCCTTCAAACACATTTATCTTCTCCATATCTCTAGAGCTTATCTCATTGAAAACCTACAAGGACCAGCAATTCATCAACGGTTAATTTTAGTCAGTAGAAACATGGATGTCCTTCTGCTACTATATCAGAAGGAGAATATTACACGACCATATCCGTGCAAGGGCGAGGATTCGGAAGAAACAAATTACCTGACAAAAGACGAATGCATTGAAAATCAGTGTATTCAGTATTAATCCAGAGTCTGGGCCATCAAGATAAAAAAGAGCCTGTCCTCTTGTCTGGAGATACCAAACTATTATAAACTGATATATAGACTGCCCCAAGATATTTCTCCACATCACATTGCTAATGAAATTCCCTTTCCGACCAACTGGCAATCTCTTCATCAAGTCATCAGTAGGAGGTTCGGTTGCCAATGCAAGCGCCCCTAGTGTGTCCATTATCATGTTGACCCATAGCAGTTGCACAGCAGTGAGGGGAGCATTTCCTGCGAAAATATTAGCCACATATTAAGTTTTTTTCTTTTTTTCTTTTAATGAAAGATTCACATTGATAAGGGAAATTTGAACTGCATAAATTAAGGTCAGCTAACCTGTCAAACAGGCTGAAGAGAAGTTGACGAGAAGTGCAACCACATTCACTGTTAGCTGAAACTGAACAAACTTTTGGATATTTATGTAGACTGAACGTCCCCATTTAGCAACAGTAGCAATTGTAGAGAAGTTGTCGTCTAGAATTATTACATCAGCACTCTCTTTGGCAACCTGCATTTTAATACGTTTCGTGTCATTTACTAAAAAACTGTATCAATGAAAGATGTACGGTAAACATTCAATTATTTGACCAGAAAACCCCTCCCCAACTCTATACCGGACCTCCCATTCAAAAAGATTTAATAGCGTGTCCATGGAAAGAAACAAATTAGAAGTTGAAATTAATAGTTCTCTGGATTATCATCTTTAAGACGATTAAAAAGTACCTCAGTTCCAGCGATGCCCATAGCTAATCCAATATCTGCTTCATGAAGCGCCGGAGCATCGTTTGTTCCATCCCCCGTCACTGCAACAACTTCTTGAAAAGTGGTGCGTAAGTGCTTAACAAGAGTATGTTTATCCATTGGTGAAGATCGAGCCATGACCTACACAAGAAATACCAGACTTTGTTCAGCACGCCAATTTTTTATAGCGTTAATGTAAAGAATTATTGAACCGAGTCAAAAAAAAAAGGACAAAGCCAATAAAAAACAGCATGGACTAAAACTATCTGTCTGTTATTTCTAAAATCGACAGCAACTTCTGTTACGTCCATTTTTTTCGGTTTGAGGTTATAATATCGATATCCAGCTCTAGGAGTAGTGGTTACAGTTCCAGAATCAAAATTCGTTTAAAAGTACCTGAATTTTTGGTACTATTTCACTCAATTCTTCTTCCTTCTTCTCCCGGAATTCAGGACCTTCGATTGCTATACCATCATCAGTCAAAATTCCACATTCCCTAGCAATTGCTTTGGCAGTGGTGATGTTATCTCCCGTAACCATCCGTACGGTTATACCGGCGGCCTTGCAAATTGCAACGGACTCCTTGACACCCGGACGAACGGGATCCTTGATACCAACAATTCCTATGCACGTGTAGCCACTTGCGGCAATCGGACTTTCAGGGTTATACTCGCCTTCGATGTCCATGTAAGCGAGGCACAAAGTTCGAAGAGCTTCGCTCGCAAATTCTTCGATTGTTTCCTTCAAAAAGTTGACGGACGCTTCGTTGAGAGGAACTGCCTCACCGTTCGAGTCAAGAACTTTGTCGCATGAAGCTAAAACGATCTCTGAAGCACCTTTGCAGTGGGCGCGGAAGCCACCGGCTGGGAGCTCCAAAACAATCCCCATTCGTTTCTTCACAGAATTAAAGGGCTCAACTCTTGCGATTTTTGACTTTTGGCGTTCTTCCTGGAAATCCCCACCAAGCAGAAGGCCGAATTCCAAAAGAGCAGACTCGGTTGGCGTCCCAATTATCTCATTCTCGCCATCTTTGTTCTTGACGATTTCTCCACCTGTGTTATTGAATATTGATTGCAGTAGAATACCAACAGCGGAATCGGGAATTTCTGAACGATAAGAAGAACACTTGCTAGAATCACTAACTTCCTTGACGTTAGTGCAGATGCAGGCTTTCACAACGGTCATGTGGTTAGTCGTTAATGTCCCAGTTTTGTCGCTACAGATAGTAGTAGCTGATCCCATTGTCTCACAAGCAGCCAAGTGCCGGACGAGTGCCTTATCGTTCATCATCTTCTTCATCGCAAAAGCAAGGCTCAGTGTCACCGCCAAAGGCAGCCCTTCAGGCACAGCAACCACAACAATCGTGACCGCAACAGCAAAGAATTCCAAAACCTCCATTGCTTCATCTCCGGACCAGCTAAAGTAAGACCCTTCTTGTAGCTTGCGACTGAACAATCCTTGCACCAATACAGTGAAAGTTATGACAGCAAAAAACAGGCCAATTTTCCCAATAATTGTTGCCACCCCATTTAGCTTCACCTGCAAAGGAGTCTCATCATCTCCTCCTTCACTAAGAGTGGCCATTAGTTTGCCCCATTGGGTTCTCATGCCAACAGAAGTCACAACCATCTTACACGAACCATCCTGAACCTTTGTTCCTGACAGCAGGAAAGGGTTTTGAGAATTTACATTAACTGGTTCGCTCTCACCTGTTAAACTGGATTCATTTATCAGAAGAGAGTACCCCGAAACAAAAAGTCCATCTGCTGGTACCTGATCACCCATGGCAAGATGAACAATATCACCCGGAAGAAGTTCGTATATGGAAATCTTTTGTCTCAGCCCATTTCTGGTAACCTGAACCGAAATTTTCTTCTTTTCTTTATCCAAATCCTTGAACTGAATCGATTGCCTATAGTCACTGGTGGCAGTGACAAATACAACAAGCAAGATGCTAGCAACGATGCCGAGCCCATCATGAGCACCCTTCGGCCATCCTTCCATCACTATGCCAACAAGAAGGGAAACAACAGCACAGACGGCGAGTATCATTAGAGTCGTATCCTGGAGAGCTTCCCAAACAAAAAGCCAAAATCCTCGAGATGGGCTTTCGGTGAATTTGTTAATTCCATAAATGTCTTGCCTTTTCTTGATCAAATGCTCTGTAGTAGGAATACCAGTCGCGGTTGATGTGGCAAGCTTAGTCGCAATACCCTCGGCACCCCCGTGAATCTTCAGCTTCTTCACGTCACGGCCGTCCACAATGGAGCCCGCTTCATCTCCACAAATTTCAAAACCTGCTTGCCTAACCTCTTCAGGCACAAGGTAATCAGGAGACAAATCCAAACCTGCAGGCATTCAAAGACATTGTCAACGTGCATTACTAATCTACAACCTCAGTTCTCAGTTGATCGCATAACCAAGACCTTACTTACCATTGATGAACTGAAGTGCAGCTTGTGAAACTAAAACTGCAACTCTGAACTTCTCCTGCAACGATTGTTGAAAATGAACAGATGGGCATCAAAAGCAAAACAAGATGGAAAAGAAAATCTTATTACAGAACATAGTTGTTATCGTTCAAGGTTGGACTCCAATGCATGTTAGAAATTTGTGAAGAACAAGGTTGAATATTACTTCATTCCAATCTCTTAGTCCTGGAAACAGTGACTATTTATCACGTCTATACCCCGTTCCAGAACTTGCAATACTGTAGAAAGGCATCATATGATGCTTGGAAAATGTCTCCAAGGTGATCACGAATTCTTATGGTATGATGTTCGTAAGACCTTACAACCAAACAAATACAAAAGATGAAAAGAACTGATGATATCAACATACGGGAAACACCACAGGATATCAATGTCAAATTGAGAGAGATGAAAGCTAAACTCAGACACATTACTCTAAGAACTCATATATAAATTTTGTAAATAATGTACATATCTTTCATCTGCCTCATTTTGGCCTTAACTATCTGGTCGACAGGTCCATTAAGTTTAAGGTTGACTCTTGAAGTTTAAGGTGAGTTTGGGATGATTTTTTGAATAATGGAAAATGCTTATGATTAAGTAATTTTCAAAATTTTAGCTTTGGGTTATGTAGTCAAAAGTGGTTGAGGAAGCACTTCGAGAAGTATGAAAAGTCATCCTACGCATTAATTTGAAAAATATTTTTAATTTGTTCAAACTAAAGTGTCTCCAAATACTCTAGTCAATCTTGCTTCGCCGTTCTTCATAGGATGGGTGCCTTTCAGTGGAAATGGTCAGTTCAAAAAAATAATGATGAACACCTTGACCAACTTTCCATACTTTCCACACCCACTAGCATATTTCACGAGTTGTGAAAAAAGGGTATGAGAATAAGTGTGGTGAAATCTTAGAGTCTACATGGAATCGAAGTGGACAGAATAGAGAAAACGAACTGATTATTTGGAATCAGTAGCTTCTGAACATCCACTTCTTAAGATGCAAACACTTCAAGTTGACCTAGTCAAGAAACTACAGCAGGTCCAAAATACAGGTAAGAAAAAAAAAATAACGGGGCAAGAATTAGGATCAACGAGAAACCTGATTGGAGCGTCTAATAGCGTCGGCCTCAAATCTTTTAGAGAGATTAGCAGTAAATCGAAACCTCCGTTTCCGATTCTTAACCAGCCAGCAAAGCCGCCTCCATCTCTGAAGCGCTTCTTCCGACGAGTTTTTCGGCTTCACGTCCCCAAAGTGTTCGTTCAAATAATTTTCCATCCGAGCTGTATTACCTTCCGCCTTCAAGATCTAGAGCTATTAAAGAAAAAGAAAAAACTCCAGATCTTGCTTCAGCTTCAAGTTCAGCGCAGAAATCAAGGCAAGACAAGGGGCGTGGAGAACGGGACACGCACAAAACCGCGTAGATGAAAAACAGTCAGCGGTACGGTAGAGCTGAGAATCAAAATCCAGTCTCCTCCGAGTCCTTGATCTGATATAACTATGGAATCAAGGCTTCACTTGTTCTACTATTACCAGAAAACAAAGAAACATGCGAAAAATGGTACGAACAGAAACAGAACAGAGATTTGAGATGGCCTGATTCAGCTGCTTCGTTTTGACTCCATGGCCTCCGGTGGCTGCTTCTGCCTAAAATATTTTATAATTGGCCAGCTTGAGACCAGAAACATCACTTTTGACCTCGATAATGGCGAATTGGAAGGTGTTGGGAAGTTGGTTTGGAACTTAGGCGCGTTTCTTCCACTCTTTCTTTTTCCAACTTTCCTACTGCGTACGCCTGTAATTCTGATTTCTGTCTTTATGTTTTCTATTTCAGTTTATTAACTACATGTCTACATCATTGTATTTTTTTCCTTATTATTTCATTTTATGAGTAACCTAACTTTAGTTTAACTGTTACTTATATGGTCAAGTAAAAATTTAACCAACATATAATAATTTCTTACCATAAATATTTCTCACTCTTTTTCTAATTTCTTAATTTCAGCATCTCAAATTCAACCTTCGACTTTTTTTTTTTTTGCAAGACTATGATTATAGTAGAAACTTTAATCCTACGATTGACATTTAAATTTGTTGAAATATTTTATTAATCAAGTAGTATGCAGTTGTTGAATGAATATCTTGCCTCGTCAGAATGACATCCCAAAAGTTATTTTCCATGTATAGAATCACACTTTTAATCTTATGCATGTGCGTGCTTATTACCCACAAATAAAAGTCCTGGAGTTCAATACACATTGTGGTTATAGTTAGGTCCAGTAGAGTTGACTACTTAATGATTGTTAATAAGTATTTTATTATTTATGAACTATTGAGATTGTGGAAACAAACAGCTGTGAATTACGGATTGAAATGTGAAAATAGAATGGTATAATTTCACCTAATCGAAAATTTTCAAGACCGTTGTACAAATACATGTTAAATAAACAATTAAATATGATACAAATTTGAAAACTACCATTTTTATAGCAGGCATTTGCTCGAAACTTGAAAGTACCACTCTTAGGTACTTTGAAATTCAGTAGCACGATGAAGGTTGAACGTAGATATCGATGGTCCGAAAATCTCTTTATTTCACTTTCAAATTTGAATGCTTTGAAAATTATGTCTAAAGATATTTGTATGACAATAAAAGCGTCAACAAAATATTTAATTTAAAAATACTATATTTGAAAACCTTTTTCAAGTATTGGAAATTTTAGTTTCACAATTATAAATATTTGAGCTGTTTTCCCTTTGAACGACGCGGTAGGAATATGTAGAATTAATTAACGCGGTGTTTTTTCTTTTTCACATTTACTTTTACTTGAAAAACTCAGAAACAAATTAATTAATATTAACGTTATTTAAATTAATTTCATAATTTGAGATGGCATTGAAAAAATAAGTTCTGAAAAGCGGTCAATAAAACTCTCCAGTTAACCAAACTCTAAATTTTAATATAATATAGTTAATTTCTAGTTGATTTTGCCAGAGAATTAAGTGTAAATGGGTTGCACTGTTTCTCTTGAAAAAAAATATATAAATATAAATATAAATATAAATGGGTGACAGTAAAATTATTCATCTTTTAAGGCCAGATATGTTATTGAAAATAAATAATATATTAAAAATAAAATAAATTTATTATTTTTACTATATTTGAAACGTCTTTGGCTGCAAATCAAACAAATTTGAATTTGAATTCAAATTTTGAAAAATGTATTTGTTAATGAATTTCGGGGAAAAACACACAAAATTGTATACATATTGTTGATAGAGAAATTTTCACTCATTATTAAATGTCACGTCACAAATTTAAAATTAAATTTAGGACCAATCACAAATTTACACGTGTCCTAACTTACTTTAAAAATCAACGAAGATAATCATGTCACGTGTCTCTCTTATGGCCGTCCGATGAAATCAATTAATTGAATCAAAACTCATAAAGAGATTAGGCTCAAACCCACAACCCATTAAAGTCCATGACCCATACAAGACTCATCAAACTCTATAAACAGAGGGAGTCACCTTTCGTTTGAGACATTCGAGGAGAAAAGATCCATAAGCATTGGAGATTCAAAACCAGAAAAGACTCGAAGAAAAGAATGGAAGACTTGAACACTACGAGAGTTTGAGAATTCTAAATCTTCTCTTTGTCAAGCAACCGACCGAAAAACTTCACAAGCTACGAGCCGAAAACTTCATCAACCCACAAATTTCGTCAAACATCAAGCTTCATGACCAAAGACTTTAAAAATTCTTCAATACGCTCAAAGCTGAAGCTCACAAGCCCTCGAAATAAAGTTCACATCTAAAAGAATCAATCAGAAGATCATACTAGAGATTGTAACACTACATATATTCAATACAATACAAGTTCATAAGTTCGAATTTTCTCTTATTGAATTTCTCGTCGAACACGTGTTTCATAAAATATAATCAATCTCAGCCAAGCAGGACAAAATTATGAAAAAATATAATTTATACAATTTACTACTTTAAAAAATTTATTGGTTTTTGTAAATAGAGAGTTTTGGTTTTTATAAACAGAGAGCTTAAGTATACAAATTAACAACTTAAAAGCAAATGTCAAAAGAGATAAATGTGATGGAGACGGGAAATTTATTTCGACATTTTCAAAAGTACATCAAACGCATTTTATTATTTTTTATTACTACTTTTTTGTTTTTTTATTTATTTATAAAATCAAATGCGTTTTTATTGCTTTTCATGCATTCATAATTTTTTAAAACATGAAGATATAAATATTATATAAACGAATCACAGACCAAATGAGACATTGCCCAATGAATCAAAATAAATAATAAAAAAATATCTAACTTTATGTGATTCCACATGTCATATGATCATATGTCTTGTCTTTATAGCATACGATAAATTATAGACGTGGGGAATCTCTGGAACGAAATTATTAAAGCATATTTATTTATGGTTTAAAAAATACATTTGGTACTATTTATTCATTAAATTTTAATATTAATTTTGTAATGAGTTTAACCTCTAAGTTATAATAGGTAACATGTAGGCCCATTTGGCAACTACGTCATTTTTTGTTTTACTTTATTAACTTTTCTTTTAATGCACCAGAACTCTTAGCCAAATTAAAAAATAAAACATAAAACTTTTTTTTTCTGACTTAGATTTTTAAAATATTTTTCAAAAAAGTATTTCTTAAAATTTTTTGATGAGTGAAATGTTTTTAACAAAAGTAGATGGAAAACAAATAAATACACAGAGGAACATAATTATCATACATGTCTTAATTTTTGTTAGTTTAAATTCGACAAATTTAAACTAATAAACAGTTACCCACTAAAATATTGAGACCAAATTATTATATGCTAAAATTCATGGAATAATCTACTACTTTGAATTAGTACAATTAACTTAAAACATATATTTTTTTAACTCTCTCTCTTCTTTTTTTTTTACCAATCCATGGGAGGGGTTATTGTTGGGAATGTTTTCAAATTTTAATTGGCAAAACATGTTGATAGATTCTAATTTGGTAGCCATAACACCAAAATAAATGATAAAAGCAACTGGATTGTAGAAACTTTGATATTGCAAACTCCTTTGAGAATCTAAAGTGCACATTGGTCGTTTATTCAACGGTATGAGTAAATAGATAAGATTTTTACTATAAATATGAACTTCGTTTAAATAACATATAATCTTTATCATACCTTCAAAGAGAGGTTTTAAAAAACGAACCGTTGGCATTAAATAAAATTTCAATTGAATTTCACAAAGTATTAGCTAAACATTACTTTATTTTATTAGTACGTTTTGAACAAAAAAAATTAAAATTCATTACAATTTATTTTTAAAATCAAATTTAAAAACTTACTTTTGGCTTTAAACAATTTTTTATAAAACAAAGCGTGTGTGGGGATAAAGTTGAATTCAAACTCTTCTCATACAAAAAGAAATAAAAAGAAAAAGGTACTGAGTTGAATTGAATTGTTATAGCGCATCTGCTTTATCTTATAAAATATAAATATTTTAGAATTAAAAAACGTTACATGCAATTCAACTTTGTCCACACAGGCTTTGTTTTTATATGGTAAAAATAAAATATTATCATAAACATTAAACAGTAAACATTAGTGGAATTGCATTCTTTTAGCGAAAATAAGAATCGCCTTTCAAAATGCTCTCGTAGCTCAGTTGGTTAGAGCACCCGTTTAGTAAGCGGGAGGTCTTGAGTTCGACTCTCAACGAGAGCATTTTTCTCTTTTTACTAGTAATTTTTTTTTTCTCTCTCGCCCGACTCCATTAAACCCCGCGTGATATGAAAAATCGCATGCGAGGGTTTATGAAATTCCCACCCCTTCTGTAAAAACCCTCCTTTCTTCCCTCACACCCACAATTTTCTCTTCAATTCTCTCAGCCCTAGGACCTGCAAGATGGCCGGGAAAGGTCCCGGGCTCTTCTCCGATATAGGCCAGAAAGCTAGAGGTAAAGAGCTTCCGCTTCATCTCCCCACTTTCTAAAACTTGTTCTAATTGGGTAATTGGGTACTGGAATTTACTTTATCGCCAGCCTACTAGATACTCTTCGATGATTTGCAGACTTGCTCTGGAAGGACTATAGCATTGATCAGAAGTTCACCATCACCACCTTTACCGACATTGGAGTGGTATTGAACGCCTTCACAATCATTTTCTTTTCTGTCCTGTTCTTGACTTGCTTCGCTTTTGATTCAGTATCGTTTACATTTTGCCCTTCTGCGTGTTACCTCTGTAGCTTGCACGGTTATTTTTTGATGTTTTTGTAAATTTTATTCTTCTTTTGTTTTGGTGCGTTTGCTGTCCTGCTTTGTCTTCTTGAGGACTGCACAAGTTGTTTATAGCAATCTGAAGACTCAACTCTGATTGATGGATGATACGTTTCTGGAGGGCTATGATTTAAATGTTTATTTACTTGAAATTTAAAATGTTGGACTGAACTCATCTTTATCAATTACTTTAGGAAGAGGGTTGCTTTTGTGAAATTGGATGTAAGGTACATAAAGTGGTCAAATCTCAGTGAACCGTGGTTTTCTTTGAATCACATAAAGTTTTGAGGGTGTACGTCTACTTCTTCAAATATTTAGGATTTTAAAACACGATGTGAAGGTGAAGGTGAAGGTGTAGATTCATTTCTGTGCTATCATTGGCTATAAGACTATGTCTTTATTCAAATTCTAGATTTGAGGAATATTTATTCAAACATTGGTTTTCTAAGATTGTTAACAGTATACAACTTCTTGTAATATTGACGAGAATCCATGTAAATAATTGCCTATTCATTTTGGTGAAAAGGTCTCTCTTGGTTAAAGTTTAGTTGGTACTGCTTACCTAGGGGTAAATGGGGTGTCCCACTGGTGTTTCATGGAAGGGTAGAGTGTTCTAGGTGGTTCATGTAATCTAATAATTTTCTCTTAACTTTTAGCTAAGCCGGTTCCCTTTATTCCCTGTAACATTACTTCTTGATCAATTATCTTCCCTCACATGCATTCTTATTTTGGCTTGAAACATTAAGAATTTCTCTTTCATTTTAGGGCCTTAACTCAACCGTGGTGAAGAGGGGAGGTCTTTACACAGGGGACGTGGCAGCACAGTACAAGCACAAGAATGCTGTTGTTGATTTCAAATTTGACACAGAGTCAAACGTAGTGTACCTCTTTCTTTAATTTCTGATATGTTTTATACTTGTATGTTTTATTTTTCTAACCTCGCATCATTCATGCAGGTCTCCTCAGTCCTGACAGTTACAGATATTCTGCCATCCACGCATGTCATTGCTTCATTGAGACTACCAGATTACAACTCTGGCAAGGTAATGTTTTCGATAATACTTGAGATGAATATGTACTTATGACTGTCCTGTCCCTATAAATTGCAAATTTTGCAACCTTTGAGATCTAATATCTGCCAATTCATTTGTTACAGGTGGAGGTTCAATACTTCCACGAGCATGCTACATTTGCTACAGCCTTTGCTTTAAACAAGTCTCCTTCAGTTGATATTTCTGCAACCATTGGGACACCCCACATTGCTTTTGGAGCGGAAGCTAGTTATTTAACAAATTCTGGTCACTTTGCAAAATATAATGCTGGCGTGAGTGTGACAAAGGCAGATTCCAACGCATCAGCAATATTGTTAGTGCTCTGTTCTAAGGGTTGTTCATTGAGATCTTGCCTCCGAATTAGTTGATGTTTAGTTGCACACACTTTATTTTGTTGTACAATAATATGACTTACAGGAAAACGGATAATTGACAATATCAGTCATCAGAGGATAATTTCTGAGTAGCGATCATATTTATTTCAATGTTTTCATTGGTTAAATTTCACTTAATGTTTGTTAATTCTCTCCCTATTATAGGGCGGATAAAGGAGACTCGGTAAGAGTGTCATACTTGCACCTTTTTGATTGGCTGAATGGGGGAGCTGTTGTGGGAGAAATCAGCAGAAAGTTCTCTACCAATGACAATACGTTGACAGTCGGGTGTTCTTATGTGGTTGACTCTCAAACAGTAGTGAAAGCAAAACTTAACAACCACGGCAATCTCGGGGCTCTTTTACAGCACCAGCTGACACCCAAGTCTTTCCTAACTGTATCTGGTGCCTTTGACACAAATGCTCTGGCAAATAATCCCAAGTTCGGGTTGGCGCTATTTTTGAAGCCTTGAAAAATATCGAAAGGATTCCAAGAAGGGTGAGTGAGTCCCAAACACGAGTAAAATACCATCTGTTTGTGCTGTCTTTCAGAATATGAAAAATAGCTTCTGTCTGTAGTCATAGGATTCTTTGCTCTTTTTTCTTTGTATGCTGTGCAATTAATTTTCGATATTTGTATGGATTGTTTAGAGTTTTGAGACATTCCCCTCCCCACGCCCGATTCGTTCGTGGAGAAAATGATAGAGTAAAAATGTAATCCATAGCATTTGTTAGAAGGTAATTTTCAGTGAAAACTCCGTCGTTTTTATTTCTACAGATGTAACTTGTGTCGATAGAATAGATAATAGATTATAGATATAACCGTCTTTCTTTGTTATTTTACTCAATCCTCTATATTTGGATACTCTCATACTCTATCCCTCTCTCTTGCTGCATGACATTCATTCACGAGGATGGCCTCATATTTAAGCAGCTACTTGATTTATGATCCAAAAATGTGGTGGAATTATTGGGTAGAGACGAGGACCTGAAATTTTGGTCCAAAAAAAGAGGATGATACTCCCTTGGTGTGGTCATATTCTAACTACTGTTGGCCATGTATGGGGTCGAGGAATCCCCGATCTAACTGGTACGGGTCAAATTGGAGATCATAAATGGTGGCCCCGACCCCACCCCGTACAATTTTTTTTTTAAATATTAGTAATTATAATAATAATCTATAAATATAATAATATTTTATATTTTATTTATCTACATATTGTATTTTGTTTTAGTATGTATTTTTATTATGACTTTGTGTTGATAAATCAGAATCTTATAATATTATGGTAGTTTTTAAAAATTTTGTTTTAGATCGTATACCTTTGATTCTAGTAAAACATTTGCCTTGCAAAAAATAGACGACAGATCCTGCAAAACAGTTGAAAATCCCTGACCCGTCCCCACTCCTAAATTGCGGGATGTCTCCATTGCCAATTCTGAACTACTTATATTTGAAATTGGTGTCCATCTTGAGGATTGAGAAAATCTTCTCTATTTGAATTTTATTTAGTTTTAATGTAAGCATTCTAAATCACTCCCATTTTGAATTCATGACAGTGGATCTAATAGTAGGGTTGTGAAAATATATATTGCACACGAGGCATTTGACTAAATTGAGGAGATATCATGTGTCGGGAACAACTCACAATTAGTTATCACCTTAACTCGGCTCTGGAGTTTGGCCAGGTTAGCTTGATCCCGCGATTTGGTTCACATCGCTTTTTAAGCTTGGCATAGGTTGGGGTAGGCATATATAATTTGATAAGTATATAAAATAATTAAAGTGATGCATATAATATTCTATAGATCTCGCACCTTCGGGTGTTGGTATCCAAGATCCAGGTTCGAGCTTTCCTGTGTCCCGAAGTAAAAAAAAAAAAAATTTATAGATCTCTGTGCGCTATTTTGTCCATCTCTTTTAACTTATGATCATTTAACATTTTAGAGAAAAAAATATACCACTGCTTACCCATGTCTAATGCATTGTTGAAAATGTTTAGGTCATTGAAATTTTTTACAACTTTACTCTAAGGAACACAGTTTGAAATCAACGAGAAGAAACATTATATTTAAATTTTATTATTTTTTTGTGCAATAAAAAAATAAAAGTAATTTTATTTATTTAATTTAACAAAGTTATGGCTTTTCAACCTTTATTTTACTTTATAAATTTAGTTTTATGTTTAGCATACAAACATTCAGACATTATTTTCTATATTATTTAAAATTTAGTCTATATATTCATGAGTTAAAAATCATTAGGAACTTTTTTTTAATGAAAAAAAATCATTAGGAACTTAATCAAGTTTGAAAAATGCATTATTTAATAATGTGCATAGATTAAGAACTTGTGCTCAATTAAATAGTAATGTTGCCAAAACGAGCGGAACTCAACGGTAGTTAGCATATATTTCCAATTAAGAGGTTATGAATTTAATTCACCACCCCACATGTTGTACTAAAAAATAGTAATGCTATAATAAGAAATTTATTATTATAATTATGAAATACATCAACTTTTTCGGAAAAAAAAACAAATGTTAATTTTTTAAACAAAGTTTAGTTACATTATATCAGCATTACATCAGGTTTATTTAAGACATTTTTTTGAATTTTTTTTTAAAAATTTCTATATTATGTAATAAAGTGAATGAACAGTGCCATTAGAAAGAAAAAATTTCAAATAAGAATGAGGATTTGGTCTAATAAAATTAGTAACTGTAAATGTCTGGATCAGTTTGTTCAATAAGATTCTTTTCTTCCCTTCCATGAACCCGGCTTATTTATTTATATTTCTCCTTGTTTCCTAATCTAATTTCAGTAACAATAGACAAATCATTTAAACCAAAATCATCGCCAAAATCGTCGCCGTTGTCCGTCGTGAGAGAGTTTCGGTGATGACTTCTATTTGTCGTCGTCGAAGGCCACCTTCAGAGACGAAAACTAATTTGGTTGAAGGTACCTTCGACGACCAAATTTGTATCGTTGCCGAAGATATCTTTGACGACGACATGAAATTAGTCGCGTAGATATCTTCGGCGACTAAATTTAGATCTTGTCGTTGAAACCTTGACTATTGACGACCAAATATAATTTCGTCGTCCAAGATATCTTTTGACGATGAAATTCTTTGTTTAGTCGTCAAAGATTCCCTCGCCAAAAAAGTTAAAATTCTTGTATTATAAACAAATAAAATATAGAGGTAAAAATAACATTTGTTTTTTAGTACAACAAGTGAGGTGGAAAGATCGAACTCGAGATATTTGTCGTTAAATTTATGTCGGCAAAAATAACATTTGTTGGGTTATTATATTAAAAAAGAAAGTGACCATTTAGTCCCTATAAACAAATTTTAATATAAATTTTATACTCAATATAAATTATTGTACACAAAATTACAGCTAAAATTTAGTCAGTAAAATTAAAATATAATGCTAAAGTACAAAATGATCATTTTAAATACTGAAATCCAAACTAACTTTTATAAGATACAATGACCAAAATGGATAAAAATTAAAAAAAAACATAGAGATTAAATAGACGTTTTAATGGTAAAAAAATCAAAATTAACCAAAAGAATTTAAATCTATAAATAATTCTCATAAAATTTAATTTAATAATTATTTTCTTATTGTTTGAGTACAATTAAAATCATTATCAAACGTAAAAAATCGTTATCTAACCGATCTTAAAAATTAAAGCTCGATAATAATTAATAACAAAAAGAAAAGAAAATGATAAAATAAAATGATTGACAAAAATATCAATATCCCGAAATATAGCATGAGGATCAAATCTTTGCGTATTTGAAAGCCATCGTCAATTCTAAACATATTTACAAATCTTCTTCCCTTCTTCGGAAATCAAATTCTTCTATTCTTCTATTCTAATGCTTGGATACCAAGCTATTTCCTAAAGATAATGCAATTCATGAACTAGGGTTTTGGTTTCTCCGCAGGATTCTTCCAAAAACCCTTCTCCCACTGCAACTTATTATGGCTTCTGCCATTTTACCTTCTTTTCCATCCCATTCTTCTGCTTCTGCTTCTCCTTCTCCTTTTGATTTTGATTTCGATTTTGATTTTAAATTTCCCTGCGCTGATTTCAGCGAGATGCCGAAAATGGCGGCCGATTCTTGCCTGGAGAAATCTGAAGAAACCAGCGACGACGACGACGACAATGACGCCGATTACTTTCCAGAAGGGTACGACCGGAGCAATTCCCGGATGTTCACGGTGAAGTTCGCTCCACAGGCGGTGGTCGACTGGTACACGATTGCTCTGGACAAGAGCGGCATCAAGAAATCGACTGTGAAAAATGATGCGTTAGGGCATCTTTTGGCCACGGGGTGGGAGATATATTACATTCAGAAGACAAAAGACAAGCGTGAGTTGCGATATAGATCTCCGTCCGGTAAGGTTTATATTTCTCTCAGAACCGCCTGCAAAGCCTACATCGATCAAGGCGCCGCCACCGCCACAGCCACCGCGGTTCCCGGTTCTTCCCGTGTAAAGAAAGATTCACGCCGCCGCGTATGGAAAGGAAAACAAATCACCTCCGACTCGAAGAAACAAATCCACGAATCATCGGATCGCGTCAAATTACCAGTGCCGCCGGTTTCAAATTTGGGCAAAAGGAAAACGTCGCCGAGGACGCCGGAAGCAGCGGCGGAGACGAGTTTCTCGCGCCGCCGCAACTCACGCGCCGGTCTTTCCTGTTTGATCGATCAGGGCATAGTTTCGCCGGGAGATAAAGTGTGCTACAAATTATCCGGGAAAGATCCGTTGGGTTGGGGAAGAATAACAAACGAAGGCATTATCAGATGCGATTGCTGCTCAAATCTGTTCAGAATCAGCAGTTTCGAGGCTCACACAGGCAGTACAAAGCGTAGGCCGGCGGCCAACATCTTTTTGGAAAACGGGCGCTCCCTATTGGAGTGCCTAAATCAATTGACGATCATCCCTCAAATCAAATCCCCTCACGAGAAACCGAATAACAACAATAAAATCAGCCCTCCACCATCTTCTTCTGACAAGTTTGTTCCGGACCAAAACGACAGCGTCTGCTCCGTTTGTTATTTTGGGGGCGAGTTGATTCTGTGCGATCACTGCCCCGCCGCCTTCCATGGCAGTTGCCTCGGTTTCAAGGCCATCCCATTAGGGGAATGGTTCTGCCCTTCTTGCTGCTGCAAAATCTGCGGCCAAGGCACCTACGATTCCACTGGGCCTTCTCCTTCTTCTTCTTCTAACCATCAAATCGATTCCAATTTCGTCAAATGTGTTCAATGCGAGCAGAAGGTTCATGTAGGATGCGTAAACAGCATTCGAGGGCTTGAAGAAGATGACCCAAATAATCCAAACATCGATAGAGAAAATTGGTTTTGTACCCAGAAATGCGAGAACATCCACACGGGTCTGCAGAACCTCTTATGGAAAGAAATCAAAATCCCAATGGGGGAAGAAGGGGAAGAAGATAGATATCTGACTTGGACATTAATGAAACACAGTACAGAACTCGCGGCTGAGGGCACCCACAGGAAGAAGCTAAATCTTTCTCTTGCTGTAATGCACGAGAGCTTCCGGCCCGTGAAGGACCCCATGACCAAAAACGACCTGATTGAAGATGTAGTCTACAGCAGAAGATCAGAGCTGAAACGGTTGAACTTTGGGGGGTTCTACACAGTGGCTTTGGAGGGGAAGAACAGTAAGGTAATGACAGTGGCAACGGTGAGGGTGTATGGAGAGGAGGTGGCAGAGGTTCCATTAGTTGCCACTCGGCTAAAACACCGCAGACATGGGATGTGCCGCGCATTGATGAAGGAGCTGGAGCAACAGCTAATGAAGCTGGGAGTGAAGAAGCTGACTCTGCCGGCGGTCCCCGAGGCCCTCGGAACTTGGACCGGCGCATTTGGGTTCTCGAGAATGGCGGAATCTGATAGATCAGAGCTTGTTAAATACACATTGTTGAGCTTTCAGCACACTGTGATGTGCCAGAAGCTGCTTACAAAGAGGAGCTCAGATGAAGAAGATATTCAATGGTGGGGACTGGGAGCGAGGAAGAGGCTGAAGCAAACTGCTGTGGAAGATGAGATCTCTGATGGTTGGAACTCAATTTCCGATTCATTATAACTGAGGATTTTGAAATTGTGAGGTGGTTTTTAGCTTCTTTTTTTTTGGTAGATTACATTATATGTTGATTCTTCACTGTAGATGATTGACAAAATTTTGTACACTGTCATTGACTTGCCCAGCCCATTAAATTTAAGCTGCTATATAATGTTAATAACATAAGGAGAAGCCTAATTGAAGTAGCTTTTTTTTTTCTTTTCATTATTATGTTTAATGATGATTTGAATGTTCAATTAATATTTGTGTTCTGTTATTGAGGTGAGTGATTTATTTCACTTCGCATGTGTTACAATATTAAATATTAGCTTGACTTTTTGGATACCCTACGAAATTTACAGCATGCAATAATTAGCTAAAGTTTATTTGGTCGGAGGGTTCACTTTTTCCATGTCCACATCATCATTCCATTTAAATATATAGAATTATAATTCAAAGTCGAGCAACGTTACTAGAATTTTTGTAAATAACTTTTGCAGACTTAATAATTTTACGACATGCAATAAATAGCCAAAATTTAAGAATTACGTAGACATAAACTAACAAATTTTAGAGGCTAATTTTGTAATTTAACCTCGGATAATGGAGTATTTATCACCTATTCGGGCAATTAATTTTGTTCTTAAATAAAGAATATATTTTAAAAATATGCTTTTGTTGAATTATTTTTTAATAATAATAATTTGATGGGTATTTGGTTTAATTTATTAAAGTAAAAATTAGAAAAATAAAATGAAATGAAAAACTGTGGAATGATAATAAAAAATTTAAAATAATATATAATTAAAATTATTTCAAAACTAAAATGAATCGAACTTGCAACCTCTTGGTTGAATATATATGTCAATTATCGGAATCATGCTCGTTTTGGCTATTCAAGATTAACTATTAATAACCTATAAATTTTATAATTACCTTGATTTAAAATTGGTCTATAAACTTTAAAACATTTTGTTTAATCTATAAATTTTACAGAACATTCTAATCCTTATAATTGACAGATTATTTAACAAAAATCCTACATAGACACATTGCTTATTTATTTAATTAGTAAATAAACATTTACATGGACACGTTTCAGGTTTCTAAATAGATTGAAGTTCTTAATTACGTGACATTGAAGATAAAATACAACATTTTTTAAGATAAAATACAACATTGGATAGTTTAAGAAGAAAAATAAAAAAGAAATAAGTGGGTAAGTTGAAACAATAAAATAAAATTTAAACCTGAACCCATAAACTTTGGATGAGTTTTATGAGAAGCTTATCTACAAGTAGGGTTTATTGCTTACTCTCTCGTATGAATATTTTCCCTCTATTTATAAAGGGTAAAATTTAAGGATTCTATGATATATTATTCTCAAATTATCAGGATATTTTATTTGAATTCCCGAAATAAAATATGATATCCTCGTTCTCTTTGGGATATCTTTTTCTTTTTCATAGTTGGACTTTCTAGACTTTTTCCTTTAGAGTCTAAGAATGAAGATCTAAATCGAATTGGGCTAACGAGCCAAATTGTTAGGTTGGTTGGACTCCGCCTAGCGTTGAGGTACTGAGCCAGAATGTCAAGGCGCTTGGGGCATAACTTTAATGGTGTTATGGAGAACGAAAATGACCCAAAACGAGACAAGGAGTTGAAGTCTGATTGGGGAAGACCGGCTCGGGACATAACATGCCGGCCAAAAGAGTGACCTAACGCCGGGGCAGAGAACGAGGAAAGCGACCAGAGGGAAGCCCACTGAGCCACGAAGGGCTCGGCCCCGACCCGGGGCTCGGTCCCGAGCCGTGCTCGGCCCACGGCCCAGCCAGTGATCCCTCGTCTTCGATCGACGATGTCGCCCAGGCCCTGCAACGGTGAATTAGGGTTAGCTACGGAAG